AGAATATATCTCTCCCCCAAAAAGCATTTTTTTTTTTTTTTTTTTTTTAAAATATATTTTATTGACTTTTTACAGAGAGGAAGGAAGAGGGATAGAGAGTTAGAAACATCGATGAGAGAGTAACATCGATCAGTTGCCTCCTGCACACCCTCTTCTGGGGATGTGCCCGCAACCAAGGTACATGCCCTTGACCGGAATCGAACCTGGGACCCTTGAGTCCCCAGGCTGACGCTCTACCCACTGAGCCAAACCGGTTATGGCCCAAAAAGCATTTTTTAAAATACCACTGAACAGCCTGGAAATCTACCCACGCATGAGCAATCTCCTGCAATATACAGAAAGCTTTTCAGGTGTCACCGCTATAATAGCAGGTGGTTCCTTTGGCTAGAAAAATTATGGCAAGAGACAGAAAGAAAACTGTCTTAATATTCTGGATACAGTTTTCCCCAAGTGAATCATTCCCATATGCCAACTCTTCCCATGGGCCCCTTTCCAGAGGAAGTGGGCTGTGTGAATGGAAGTGTGGAGATGCAGTCTGGTGGGCAAACTTCAGTGGTGTCCGTATTTGGCAGGTCCAATTAATCTTTAGATATATATCAGCCACTCTTCTGTAAGTCTCAAAAGGCAAAATTTGAATATGGATTTGATTTCTGTTTGTGCTTCCCTCATAATAAACACATAATCTCCTTATGAAGATTTAGTAGTGTTCATTTGAGGCAAGGCTGCTTCTGAAATTCCATATACATTCATTTTAAATAAAAGCTTACAGGGAAGGCTGTGACTAGAGCATTGGCAAAGGTGATCATTTAATTCACCCTTTTGTTATAAAATATTTGAGACATACAAAAAGTTTAAAGAATAGGTATTTGCTCTTTAGTGATCTTTTGCTGCTTGTAAGATAAAAATCTGTACTGGCACAAAAGACTTCATTTCCAGACAGAAGTGCAGCAAAGCTGGAAATTAAGTTTTGCATATTTTTTTTCTTCCTCCATTGTGTATAAGACTAGCATTCTTTTTTTTTTAATATATATTTTATTGATTTTTTACAGAGAGGAAGGGAGAGGGATAGAGAGTCAGAAACATCGATGAGAGAGAAACATTGATCAGCCGCCTCCTGCACACTCCCTACTGGGGATGTGCCTTGACCGGAATCGAACCTGGGACCTTCAGTCGCAGGCCGACGCTCTATCCACTGAGCCAAACCGGTTACGGCAAGACTAGCATTCTTATCATTTATAGGCATACCACATCTCCTTGACTGAAAAGGGAGACGCTAGTGCCACCATCTTAACTTCAAATCAACTAAGGTCTAATAGGGAAAGATGTGGAAGCATGCTGATGAAACACTGGACTTTATTTGGGTGGAAGACAACTACATGGGAAAATAAAAAGAAAACACGGTCATTCTGGCCCCTCCTAATCTCAGAGTGGTATCATTGGGCATAGTCTTTAACCCCTCTACACCTGTTTTCTGAACTGTATGGTAAGGATAATAATAGGATTTGCCTCTTAGCGTTGTTACATGTAAAGCCCTTAGAACAGTGCTGGGCATACAGTAAATCCTCAATAAATGTTAGCTCACTTTCTTCCTTCTCGTCAACAGAATGTTAGCTCCACATGAGAGCAGTGGCTTGGTCTTATCTAGTTCTGTATCCTCAGCTTCTATCTTTCCTACTGTCGGCATTCAGTAAAGATTTGTTGAATGGATTAATTAACAAGAGTAGTTAGGCTTTGAGGTTGAAAGTGAAAGAGAATTTGTCCTAAGTTTTACAACTAGTGAGAGAAAAATGGACTTTGGGTTTAGGGCAGGTAAAGGAGGTAGGAAAGAATCCTAAATTAAGGTGAGAAGGCCCACATTCAAGTTTAAATTCTTCTAACTTTAAGTGTTAAGACTAAGGGCTTCTTTCTTAATTGGTAAAATGGGAATAACTTCCAAGGTTATTTTGAGGACTAAATTAAGGTGTATGTGAAAGATCATAATAAACTATGAAGGGATATACAAACACATTATATTAATTTTTATCTCAGCAAGTTTATCCATTGGATGACAATAAAATGATTCTATGAGAGTCTTGGAAGAAAAAATCTTTAGCTAAAGATTTAAGTCCTAAAAATATTCCACCCCAGAGGTACCACAGACGTAGACTAATTTTTTCCATCTGTGCATTTTAGGGTAGATTTGGCATACACTCAATACCAGGCAAGAAAGAAACTATGGTTTAGGCTGCTTTTAAAGTTAAAAAAAAAAGGCAGAAAAGGAAACCATTTCCTTTTATAAGCATGAATGTTAAAATAGAGAAAGCCTTCATCGAGTAATGCATCACCTAAGCAAGACTAATTTTTTAAAAATTGATTTGAGAAAGAGGAGGGGGAAGAGAGAGAGAGAGAGAGAGAGAGAGAGAGAGAGAGAGAGTTGTTGTTCCACTTATTTATGCACTCATTGGTTTATTCTTGTGTGTGCCCTGACCAGGGCCCGCAACCTTGGAGTATCAGGACAACACTCTTCCCAACTGAACTACCGGGCCAGGGCTGAAGCAAGACTACTTAATCCATATTCTCTTCTACCTTTCCCCACTCCCCTTTTATGTTCTAACTAGAGGCCTGATGCACAGAATTCGTGCAAGAGTAGGCCTTCCTTCCCCCGGCTGCTGGCACCGGCTTCCCTCTGGCACCTGGGACCCGGGCTTCCCTCACAGCAGCGGCTTTGTCCAGAAGGTCATCTCGAAGTCGCCTGGCCTAATTAGCATATTATGCTTTTATTATTATAGATAGATTAGTTAGATATTTTATATATAATGATTTATGTATCATAGTCACTCCCTCCTTGTGGAGAAAAGAAATACAGATCATTCTTTATCAGCCACATGTGACTCAGAGGTCAAAAGAGCAGTTCTTTGTGGGATAATCTCCCAGATTAGTAATATTTAAAGACCTGGTGTTCAGAGCCAGGGATTATTCAAATATTACGGCTTTAATATTAGGCTTCACTCATCAGTGCCTGAGTTTGAGATTGAGAAACTAACTTGAGGACAAAGATAAAGGGGTGGGGGGAGCCATAGTGAGGGCGCTGATGACTCACTGTCCCTTCTTTGAACTTCTGAACTTCAGGAATGACAAGATGGAACAGGGGAAAAAAGCGCACTGCCCCACTGCAGACCAGATGTTTCATGAAAGGCAAGAAATTCAGGGAACTTAAAAGCCTGTATATGTTCAAAGGGTAAAAGCAATAAATATAATTTTCATGATCAAGTTGTTAAGTGCATCAAAAAAGGACACTAGGAAACGAAACTTGACTGCACTTTACCATCAGAGCTAGCATCCTAAATCTGATCATTTTATTCTCTTGCTTAATTAAAAACTTCACTAGCTCTACATTGCTCCTGGATCAAGTCTAAACTTACAATGGCACAGAATAATCTTCATAACAAGATCCCAAACTTCCCTGGTAGCTTTATCTTCTAATGAATTCTCATTACATGTCTTGGAAGGAATAGAAGGCCACTTATAATTTACCAAATAACCAGATACTTTTAAATCTGGTCCATTTCTTTACACCATTTTCTCTGCCCAGGACTTCCATCCCAGCTGGCAAACCCCTAACGGTGCTTCAGAGCCTGGCTCAAGTATCATTTTTTTCTGTGTAGTTTTCTCAACTCCCACTCTCTCCTACTACTCAGAATGAGTGTTCTTTCATCTATGGAGTCATTGAACTTTAAGAATGCCTTTGATAAATCACTTAACCCTATGCATTAAGTAGAAGTTCTATTCTCTCCCCAATACCATGAAGGCAAGCAGGAGCCTGTCACTGTGCAATTCTTAGTACACCACAGGAGCATAATACAGGTGTGTTGAATCGAATCAAATATTAGAAGAGAACCAAAGCCTCAATGGATTTTCTAGGCCTAGGAATTTGCTAGGCCTAGAGAATGTATGTTAAATTCACATATGTGATTTTGCTTTGGTCTTTGGACCAGAGTGTGTAATTTGCTTTTATTAAAAAATAGGGTCATGAATATATTTCTCTAGATAAAACATTATGAACCCATTTTCAGCTTAGACTTGGCCTTCCCATAGCTCAGTTTGCCAAAAAGTAGCTGTGTAATTCGAAATATTTTCCTGCTGGAGTGGAATTGCATTTGGGGCTTGCTTCAATCAGTGCTTGTCTCGCTTTTGCTCTTCAAAGAGCCCCCCAGTCAACCAGGCTCGAGCAGAAGGAAACCAGATGAACTCTGTTGAATTTAAATTTCCCACATCCTCTACTTTAGCATTAAAGTTTTCTTCTCTAATTGAACAGATTAACTGAAGTAGTATACGTAATATAGTATCAATTTATACATTTTTTATTTATCCACTATGCCACCTTGTTTCAGAGTCTTTGAAAACTTAAAGAAAAAAATCCCAAACCAAAAAACAAACTGTTCCACTCATCCCTTTGGTTCTTTTGGTGATCCTGTCAGTGCTGATGGTCAGTCTGAAAGACTTTTGGAAAAGTTTCTCAGGTACTAGTAACAGCATTTCCTATCTTGGTTCATGGTAAATGACTGTCAGAGTCCACAGGTCACTTTTACCCTATGACCCAGTGTGAGTTCGCTCAATCTTGAAATCAGTCACTGAGGCCCTCACATAACAGGGCAGTTGTTATCCGGCTAAGTAAAACTATATAGTTGATGACCGTCTGAAGTTGCTCAGGGGCAACAGTATGAAAATGAAGAGCAGATCTGCCTGAGTTTGAATCTGGCCATACCTCTGACCAGGTAAGTGGCCTTGGACGAACTACTTCACCTCTCCAGGCCTCACCTGCCTTATCAGTAACGAAGGAGAAACAATGGCACCTACCTCCTATGGAATAAGAGGAATAAGTGGATTAAATGTGTAAAGCATTTTACAACAGTGTCTGGCACACAGTAAGCACTCAAAACATGTTAGTGACTATATTCGATACTTTAATATTTTTAGGTAAGAAAAGTAGGTACAGTAAAAAATTAAAGGAAGGCTGATCATTTTCAGGACAATAGTTTATTTACAAAACTGCAACTCAGTCTGTTTTGGTATCATTATTGACAAAACACCTACAGTTGAGATACTAGTTGAGGCTATACACTGATTTTAGCTATACACAAAACCAGAATCCAACACTATCCCAGTTTCCTACTTCTGTGTGGCTCCGAATGTAGCTTGCAAAAGAACCAACTCTCTTTATAATGCACAAGGGCTGAAACAAACCCCTTCTTTAGATTTTGTTTTTGTTTTTCTATTTAAGGGTTGGGACTGAGATTACTCATATTTAAAATTTGCTATTTATAGAGAAAGCCCCAGAGAATGAGGTAACTTAAAGACAGAGGTTTGGTTTATCTGGCTTTCATAATACAGTATCCATATGACTTTAGAAGAAGGCAAATAAATAATATTGGTACAGAGTATATGTATTGATAATTTTCTGACAAATTCATTTATCTAACATCATGCTGAGGAATCAAGAGGATTTCTCCATACATTTAAAAATGTGTTATATTTGTTGATTCACAAAGTCTTGCTCCACATTAAAGTAGTTGTCACCAAAATAACATATGATAACTAGTACCCATGGAAACCTATCAGCTTGTTTTTTAAAATTCTCTGTTAAGGTTTATTTCCAAGTTGAGCATCACATATGTATACATGGTTATATGTGTGGATTTATGCATGGATATATGCACAGTTGATATATGTGTGGGTACTAATGCCCCTTATTCAGGAATGTAAAATAATATGCCTGGCATCTAGTTGTAAGAAAAACTTCCCCAGATTGGGAGGTAGCTGAGTGGCACATGAAAAAAGTCTCTTATGTGAAGGTAAGAATACACCTATACTGGGCTGATGAATGGAGAGAGGAAGAAAAAGAAGTAGAAGTAGAAGAAAAGAACTACATTGGCTCAAATTAAACAGGTCATTAATTTAAGACAGCAAATAAATAAATCAACAAATGCCCCATTTTGGTTTTCTAAAAAAAGAAATCACTGGAAAATCCTTACTAACAATTTAAAGTTGATCCATTAATATACATTTTAAATAGTAAAAAGTCTAAATATTATATCTATCATAAGTCTATTCTCCTATTCATCTAATACACTCCTCTGCTGAGATATCTAACATGTCTTCATCTGCACTCTCTTCTATCTCTGGCAAGTTGCCCCAAAGTAGGAAGTTAACACCTGAAAGGAAAAGGTCACAAAGTTATTTGGTGCTCATTACTGTTATAACTCAGAACATGATATATGAAACCTTTATGTTAACATTGTTACATTAAACCATAGTGTTAGCAGTAAAGAGAAAAAGCATTGAAAGAATGTACCACAAATAAAATTATCTAATATAATTCATCTAGGACATACATATTCTTCAACCGTTTTAAGCAATTCTAAAATCTTGAATTCTAAAATCTTAGGACTCAAAAGGATCTTACGAATCCATTTACTCAAAGCTTGCCTCTAGCTACATTATGCCATAATAACTCTACAGTGATACTTTTCAAATCTATTTTAATGAATGGAGATCTCACAAGATCCTTTTATTTATTTATTTATTTTTTTTTAATATATTTTATTGATTTTTTACAGAGAGGAAGGGAGAGAGATAGAGAGTCAGAAACATTGATGAGAGAGAAACATCGATCAGCCGCCTCCTGCACATGAACAATAATTCTTGATAGCAACCCAGGTACATGCCCTTGACCGGAATCGAACCTGGGACCTTTCAGTCCGCAGCCGACGCTCTATCCACTGAGCCAAACCGGTTTTGGCAGATCCTTTTAGATTAAGTATCTCTTTGGAGGGAAAGACTTGAATAAGTCACTCATCTCTTCAACAAGCATGGAAATAGCTGGCGCCTTTTTTTCTGATTAAAAAAAGCAAGGTTTTGGAGCCAGTTACAATATGAACAATACTTGATATACGTGGATTTTAGTCTAGAGGTTGTCAAGGTAGAATTGTCAACTTTAGAACTAGATTGTAGCTGTCACTACAATAAATAAAATTACCTAACACCTCTCATCGTGAAAGGTCAGTCAGCTTTCATATTGAAGAATCCAGCATTTGTATATAATATAAGACCACATATATGGTAGAGGATAATGAGATGGTTTATTCTGGGCATGTACTATATTATACCTTGAAAGCACTAAATTGGAAAAAAATTGACCTTTAGAAGAGCCAATGAAGTCTTACAAGAAAGTAAATCTCAAGCTGTCCAGTTGGCAGTGTGGGCACACGCGACCCAGCAAGTCTGGATACCCACTCCACACATACCAAGATTGTGGCCACTTGGAATGGAATGAGCCAGGATTTGGAGATTTGGTTTGAACTCAGTTTCCACCCCTTATCAGTACACCATGGATGTTTTTACTACTTTTACTACAAATGCATGCAACCAGACTATATATATTGTTGTTTTGTGTATTTAAAATTTTACAATATGGTATTATATGTATCTTTTCTAATTGTATTTTTTCTTTCAATTCTCACCTGAGGATATGTTTATTGATTTTAGGAAGAGAGAAACATTGATCGGTTGCCTCCCATGCATGCTCTGACCAGGAATCCAACCCTAAACTTAGGTATGTACCCTGATGGGGAATTGAGCCTGCACCTTTTTTGGTGTGTGGGACGATGCTCCAACCAACTGAGCCACCCAGCCAGGGCTCTAATTAGACATTATGTTTTCATTAGACATTATGTTTTTGAGATTTACCTATACCCATATGTGCAGATTTAGCTCATTTTCTTTTATTTCTGTAGAGTATTCCATTGTGTGAATTAAAAAAATTATATATATTGCAAATATGACCCATCGCCCATCCTTTCCTCTAACTGTCCATTTCGCACAGTTGCCTGAGGAGACGTGTACAAGAATGTGCACTGTTGTATTGTTGAAACAACAGAAACAATCAACTATCTATCTTAGTTGAGATACTGGAATATAAAAAAGCAAGGAATTAGCATCTGTTTGATGTATATAGATGCCTATCATATTGTTTTCTGTAATTTTTTGTCTGTTTAAATTGCTCATAATATAAAGCACCTTTTTCCCAAGAATGAATTGTTTTGCTTCTGGTCAGATGGCATTGAGAGCTGACAGGATAGTACGGAATCACTAGGCCAAATCTAATGGCCAATTAGAACCCATAAAGGTCAATGGAGAGTTGAAGTGAATTTGCCTTTGGAGGCATTTACCCACCCCAGTGAAGGTGAACTGAGGTTTCCCAAGCTTCCTCAGGAACTTCTTAGGAAATCAGGTCTAGCCCTAACCAGTTTGGCTCAGTGGATAGAGCGTCGGCCTGCGGACTAAAGGGACCCAGGTTCGATTCTGGTCAAGGGCATGTACCTTGCTTGCGGGCACATCCCCAGTCAGGGGTGTGCAGGAGGCAGCTGATCGATGTTTCTCTCTCATCGATGTTTCTAACTCTCTATCCCTTTCCCTTCTTCTCTGTAAAAAATCAATAAAATATTAAAAAAAAAAAAAAAAGAACTGAGAGGAAATCAGGTCTACATGTATAGGCAAGCCTAGAACATAGACTTTTTGGGGCCCTTTCAGTCTAAACATTCTAGAATTTTATAAAGCTTGTGTATGTACTCCTTTGATGCTGCTGACTCAGGTGTTTCAAGGAGAGTTCCAACAGCCATGAGGAACCCTGTTGTATGCCAAGCATCTAGAAAATCCTGCTTTAAATCATAGTGTTAGGGTTACAAAGGAGAAGTCTAATATTCTTGGAGTCAATACACAGAGACACGAGTAGCTCAGCACAATTGGTTCAAAGAAGAAAAAATAAACTAAGTGATTGGATCTGTCAGAAGCAGCACCTTCCTTCCTCTGTTAAGAAGGGAGGAAGGAAACCCTGTGATACATGTGTTTCTCATGGATTAGATTCAATGCAAATGCAAGAATGCCGGGCTTTTATCTTTGAAAAATTGACCAATATTAAGAAGTAAATCAAAATTGAAAAATCTCCACCCTGTGTTTTAAATTCCATGAAGCAGAAAAAAATAATATCAAAGCAGAAACTTCCTTTAATGTGTCCCACGAGCAACACAAATCTAAAACTGGAAACCTAAATTAGAAGCCTGTATGTCACCTAGGGAAGTTCAGATAAGTCCTTGCTCAAAAATGGCCCTCTTAACGTGCTAGAGTCTTAAATTAAGACCCCCACATGGTTGAGAGCCACAATTAAATGCCAGGTGATAAAAAAAAAAATCGGAGTCTCTAAAAACCCAACCATAATTGGAGGGTTTAAAGACCCTGACGACCTAGCTTTTACAATTTGTGATCTTGTTTTTAGTCTGTGAAGGGAAATCATACTTTTAAAAAAGGAATATATTTTAAGTTCTGAAGAAGACTAAAATATACATTAAAAAACCCGAGTGTTCGTGCCAATTTGGGTTGTCAAATTCTTTAAACTTGTTCCCACTAAAAATGTCCCACTAAATGTCAACTTGGTCTGTTGTATAAATAGGTATTAGACATTGAAAACATGTCCTATAACAAAACTTGAATGGCTCTAGACAATATAAAATGTATTATGTAAATATCTTTTAAGAATTGGTTGCAGTATTTTCCTACTAAATAATTAGTATGACATATTGATATTAAATATTTCCTTTGACTAAAATTCCATCATAATTTATTAATATAGATGTCAAAATGTCCATTTTCATCTTAAAGCAACATCACCAAATACATGTTATCTAGTCATCTTCCCTCCCAACTCCCCACGGCCTCAGCCTTCCCTCCATCCCTCCCTTCTTACACACACACACACACACTTGACTATCACATATACAATATTGTTCTCTCTCTCTCCCTTCCTCTCTCTAATCTTGTCCTTGGATGAGGATTAAAAAAAAAAAAGTTAATTTAAAAAGGCCAAGAGCCCTAGCTGGTTTGGCTCAGTGGATAGAGCGTCAGCCTGAGGACTGAAGAGTCCTGGGTTCAATTCTGGTCAAGGGCACATGCCTGGGTTGTGGGCTCAATCCCCAGTTGTGGGCTTGCAAGAGGCAATACCATAGCTATTGTAAAGATGAATGAGTTAATATTTTAATAGTAGGTTCCAGATTTATTGTCTAGTAGGTTTGCAATAGTAGGTTCCAGATTTATTGTCTAGTGATTTTTCTTTTTTCAACACACACACACACACACACACACACACACACACGTGTACTTAGATGTATATAACATGTCTCTGTCTCCTTCTCATTCTTTAGGATTCAACTCTCCTTAGCCTCTCATGAGAAGTCTTCCCTACCATGCTATGAAAAATAACTCACATCGATGAGATTATGCATACTTGATAATATGTATCAATACCAGAATTTAAAGAATTAAAATGTTAATTTAAGTCTGGCTGTGGTGGCTCAGTTGGTTGAGAATTGTCCTGTGCACCCAAAGGTTGACAGTTTTATTCCAGATCAGGGCGCCTACAAAAGGCAACCAATTGTTTCCCTCTCACATCAATGATTCTCTCGTGCTTGCTCACTCTCCCTTCCTCTCTCTAATCTTGTCCTCGGATGAGGATTTAAAAAAAAAAGTTAATTTAAAAAGGATAAGAGCTCTAGTTGTTTGGATCAGTGGATAGAGCATTGGCCTGAGGATTGAAGAGTCCTGGGTTCAATTCTGGTCAAGGGCACATGCCCGGGTTGTGGGCTCAATCCCCAGTCATGGGCTTGCAAGAGGCAGCCGATCAATGATTCTCTCTCATCATTGATATTTCTATCTCTTTTTCTCTCTCCTTTTCTCTCTGAAAAAAAAGGGGGGGCGGGCAAGAAATCCTGCTAAGTTTGAGGCTCTTAAATAAAATGATGAAAATAGAAATGGCAATGAATTTTGGCTACTAGTATCCATAAGTGTTTGGGATAATATGATTGACATTTCAGTCTAGTAGATCCAATCCAGGTAAAGTCTCAGAGGGAGTCCTGAAATGATCTACCGGGAGTTTCACTCAGATGTTGATAGACAAATGTTATAGGAATGTTCCAGTCAATTGTTTCTTACCTGTAGAGTCTAGTCTGTTAATACCATAAACTGCCTGGCTGTGAAACATCCAGAAGTGCCCATTGTTACAGGAGAGAAGGCAGGAGCAACATGGAACAATCACATGATAACCCACAATGTTCCCACTAAAAAAGAAAGTAAATATTGTTAGAGGCTGTGTAACACCTGACCATGTAAGCATTTTTAATGTAAATAGATGACATAAAGACCTCACTTCCTCCTAACATCCTCCATTGCTGGGATCTTTGGGATGTGATTTATTCTAATAATGATTACAGTGCTACTGTCAAGTGGCAAAATAGACTTTAAGTGAAATAATACTAACATTTTCTCCATTTCTTTGCTAGTATTTTATGCATTTTCCCTTGAGAAGCTAGCTTCCAGATGACATAAGGTTGTGATTTGCTCTGTAAAGAACTCCAAATTGATGTGCTGTGCACACAAAATATATTAAATAAACTCAGATCTGTGGGTAAAAGGTTTTTGCTATCCTCAGGACAGTGACAAGTTGGGTTCTTACATGTTCTAGCTCCATGCCAGGACCTAAAAACTGTTTCAACAGATGGAGGAGTAGGAAGACAGCATGAGCCCCTGTAAACCAAACACAAGCTGGCTGCTCTAATTTTAGTCTGTGTTTTTGAGGGAATTCAGAAGTAAAGCAAATCTATAGCCTCTAGAGAAAGTTGCAAAAGTTTTCAGTCTTCACGATTATGCATCTGATTATAAGTACCTTACTCTTCTACAGGGTTTGGTGTTTTTTTTTCTTATCTGGTTACTATTAAATAGATTGAATATACAGGGAATGTTTTAGTAGGCACTTAAAAAAATGACAACATGAACTGCTTACACCTTAAGGTGTAAAAAGTCTTATTATAGCTTGTTCTCATCCAGTGAGATGTGAGAGTGAGTTATTTTTGTGAGGGCCTATTAAAAAATACTATATAAGAGGTACCAGCCCACCTAAAATATATCTTCTAATCATAATCTGATTGAAAGGCAAACGAATGAAAACAAAAGTTGTTCTTGGACTAGGACTGGCTGTTATTCGTAAGACTATTCTTGTGGCTTTCAGTACTGCCCTTATTCATTCATTCCACTAATGTTATTGAGCTTGTATTCTGTGTTAGGTGTTAGAAATACAGGGTGGACAAGGTTTTTGTTCTTATGGAGCTAACGTTCGAGTAGGGACATCCCAGATCATTTGCTCCCTTCTTAGAACCCCTTCAGTGGCTTCCCATTGGCCAAAAAGAAAAACAAATAAACTCCTTCATACCAAGGTCTAGATCTGCACTATCCAAATGTGGCTACTGAGCACTTAAAATGTGGCTAGCCTGAGGTGAAATGTGCTGGGAGTATAAAACAGACACCAGATTTGAAAGAATAAGAATAAAAAATAGAATGTAAAACATTTCATTCATAATGTTTTTATATTGGTTACATATTGAAATGATAGTGTTTTGCATATATTGAGTTAAATAAAATACATGATTAAAATTAATGTCACCTGTTTCTTTTTACTTTAAAAAAATGTGGTTACTGGAAAATTTTAAATTCCATATGCAACTTGCATATTTCTATTGGACAGCGCTGCCCTAGATTATCTGTGTTTTGACTACATCTCTAATGTACTCATACTATTCTTCCCAGATGCTCACAAAGTCTCAGCCACACTGCCATTCTCCTTTTATTCCTGGAACATCTAAAGCAGGGGTCCTCAAACTTTTTAAACAGGGGGCCAGTTCCCTGTCCCTCAGACCGTTGGAGGGCCGGACTATAGTTTAAAAAAAAACTATGAACAAATTCCTATGCACACTGCACCTACCTTATTTTGAAGTAAAAAAACAAAACGGGAAAAAATACAATATTTGTATTTGCATGTGGCCCGCAGGCCATAGTTTGAGGACCCCTGATCTAAAGCATCTTCTTACCTTGGGTCCTTTGCACTTGCTATTCCCTCTGCCTAGAATATTCTTTCTCTGTCTCCTTCTCATTCTTTAGGATTCAACTCTCCTTAGCCTCTCATGAGAAATCTTTTAGAGTTTTAAGTTTATTCGAGATCAAATAGAGAGTAGGGGTAGGGCCAGGACTCAAACCTAATTTTTATGACTAAATCCAGGTGTTTTTTTCCTCCCTCTAAACTACTTGTCTTTTTCTAAAAATTAAAGCAGATATTTGTCAATGAACTTGAGAAATTACAAAATCATATACAAATCTAAAGTGCCACAGGCCCTTTAAAAAATAGCTCTTAGTAACAAATGGAAAATTTTAAATTCCATATGCAACTTGCAATGGCTCATTGCAAGGGTTATAACCAGTGCTCGATGCAGTCCACTGAACCTTTGTGTCTGCTTTGGTGTCAACATCCATCTCCCAAACCCAGGGCTATTTAGAATATTGTCATAGATACCATTTTAAACATGCGATGTCCTTCAGTTTACATTTGCAGATTTCAGTATAATAGCATCTTCCTATTAAGTCCACTGTGCTGAAGAGAGAAAAGTGTAGAGATAGTCAAATGTATGTTTTTTAAATTGTTAGATGTATATAACATAAAATGTATTAATTAACCATTTTCAGTGTATAGTTCAGAACTGTAAAGTATATTCACATTGTTGTACAACAAATCTCCAGACCCTTTTCATTTTATAAAGTTAAAACTCTATGCCCATTAAACAATTCCCCATTTCCCTCTCCCCCCAGCCCCTGGCAATCATCATTCAACTTTCTGTTCCTATGGATTTGACTGCTTTAGATACCACATGTAAGTAGAATCATACAGTATTTGTCTTTTTGAGACTGGCTTATTTTCACTTAGCATAATGTCCTCAAGGTCCATCCATATTGTAGTATGTGATAGGCTGGATAATATTTCATTGTATGCATATACCTTATTTTGTTTATTCACTCAGCTATTGACAGACATTTGGGTTTTTGTGAATAATGCTGCTAAGAACATGGCTGTGCACATATCTCTTCTAGGTCCCGCACTGAATTTTGTTGGATATATACCCAGAAGCGGGATTGCTGATCATATGGTAATTCTATTTTCAATTTTTGAGGAACTGTTATGCTTTTCCATAGCAGAGGCCCTATATTACATTAGCACCAACCGTGCACAAGGGTTCCAATTTTTCCATGTCCTTGCTATCAACTGTACTTTTGATTGTGATTTAGTATGAATTTTATAGGCCCAAAGAGCTAAAAGTGAGTCTGAAATAGAACTATAGTATATTTTGCAAGAGTCAGTTAATATTTGTGAGCTCAACATAATATGACAAAACTTCCACTTAAAAACCTTATGTGCTCATTGATTTTCAAACATTAATCCATACTCTTATAACTCTTACAAGGAAGCATAGACAATAGGAAAGATCCAACTCTATTCTAGACTCTTATCTAACCTCTAACAATGAACCTTCTTATGACTGTCTCATCACTTACCATAGCTATTGTAAAAATGAATGAGTTACTATTTTAATCATAGGACCTTTGCAATAGTAGGTTCCAGATTTATTGTCTAGTGATTTTTTTACACACACACACACACACACACACACACGTACTTAAATATTAACTCATTTATCTTTGCAATACGTAACGTTGTCATCAGGCATGACTACACTTGAACCAATTCAGGAAAATTTCACGACTTTCACTATATTAAATTTTTTTTCTTTTTAAAAAAAATATGTTTTTATTGATTTTAGAGAGGAAGGGAGAGGGGGAGAGAGAGAGAGAGCTAGAAACATCAGTGATGAGAGAGAATCATTGATCGGCTGCCTCTTGCACGTTCCACACTGGGGATCGAGCCTGCAACTTGGGCATGTGCCCTGACTGGGAATCGAACCATGGCCTCCTGGTTCATGCGTTCACACTCAACCACTGAGCCACGCCAGGCAGGCTAAAAAAATGTTTTTAAGTTTCTATTATTATCATGAAATTCACTTTAAATTATTATAACTATTAGCCTGCCTCCTCTGGCTGTGTCCAAAGAATACTTACTTATTCACCCATATTATGGATAATCACTCTTTCACTTTAATGATAAAGATTCAATAAAGAGCTAAATCTTGAAAATCATTTAAGGGCTATGTTGATCATGGAGAAAGTACTTTTTAGAGCTAGAAAAAGGTATATTTGAGTCAAATAAAATGGTTATTTTTCCAAATAGGAAGCAAATTCTTAAGGGCTCTACTATACCCGAAAGTGGGTAGTGACTGAAAACAATTAAAGAGGATTGAATTACACAAGTGAATGCATGATATCCAAAATAGGCTTTATGGGAAGACAAGGATTCTTTAAAGGGTAAGTCTTTATTTCATCCCATACAAACCTGTCTCTCTCAGAAAAGGAGATTTTTGAGAAAAGAATACTGAATTATAAGGACAATGGAATAAGCATGCCAATCGCAAATAATGGTAGAAAACTATTAATTTTTTTGGGGTGTGTGTGTGGAAAACGATGGATAAAAATGAAAAACATGCCCTAGCTGATTTGGCTCAGTGGATAGAGCGGCAGCCTGGGGACTAAAGGGTCCCGGGTTCGATTCCGGTCAAGGGCACATGCCTGGGTTGCGGGCTCAATCCCCAGTGGGGAGTGTGCAGGAGGTAGCCTATCAATGATTTTTTCTCATCATTGATGTTTCAATCTCTCTCTTCCTCTCCCTTCCTCTCTGAAATCAATAAAAATATGAAAAGAAAAAGAAAAAGAAAAACTTGACCTCTCCAACAGTACAAAAAAGCTTGCTTGAATTTCCTAGAGTCTCTAGGTCATGGCCTTGATCCAGTGAGACAGGATAGTTGGGCATCCAGCTTCAGGGGTGTGGTCACATGACTAGAAGCATTACATCAGGACTGACCACTGGGGCTAAACCACAGACTTTGTCCAGACAGTCTGCCCATTTAGTTATACGCCAAGGGGATCATCAGGCTGGTGGGAGTGGCTGGAACACCAAAATGATAATCCCCTGGTTGACTCCGAGGTCCAAGCCCTAACATCTTCCCATTTAGTTAAAGGCTACCGTCCGCTGCCCGCCACCGGCAAATGACTTACTTGGTAGGAGGGATGTCTGTAGAGAAAAGGTCTATGTCAGTGTCGGCCAGCAAAACAGCCTTCATGCCCCGAGAGCTGAGCACTTGTTTACAGAATTTGCAAGACAGGATGGACACGCACCGGTCCTGGAAGCTACAGCTGCTGGTAGACATGGCGTCCCGGGCAAGGATGTGGCGTGGGATTTGAAAAAATGCAACCAAAGAGCAAGACCCTTCCTAGGTGGATTCCCCCGGGGCTAAAAATAAAATGGCGAGGCCTCGAGCTTTTCTGAGCCCTAAAATTGGGAAGGAAAATTAGTTCTTTTTTTGTCCCCCCCCCCCCCCACCCGGGGAGGGTAAAAGTAATATTTATTGAGCAGGAACAGGAGAGAGCAGCAGCAATTTTTTGGGTTTTCCCTTTGAAATTTGCTTATCCTTGACTTCCGGAGGATTCGGGGGGGGGGGGGGGGGAACGGGCAGCTGCTAGGGCCTCGGGAACTGTCTGCCGTTTTCCCTTCCTCCCGTCTACAAGGATCCTCTCCTCTGGCTCCCCCTCCTTCAGCAATTCCCTGGCATTTAAAGCTTCTCCTCTCCCAAGCCCCTCCCCCCGAGAGCTCCAATTCCTATTTGTCGGGTCGCGGGCGGTCTCCCTACCCACGCCTCTTCCAGGAAATCTTTCTCCTCTTCCCAGGGTTCGGAAATGCCCTGAGCCCTGCCCACCGGGAGGGTCCCTGCTTCTCCGCAGTCCTGCAGCGAACCTCCGCCGCTCGGCTCGTCCCAGCCGGCCCCCGGCTTCGCTTCTCCCGCGGCAGCCCCCAATCCTCAGCGTGCGGGCTCTCGCGCCCCCCTCGTGCCCCCGGTTCCCCGCGGCCTTCCCTCCAGGCCTCTCCCGGAGCGGCCGCTCCAGAACGTGCGGTGTTGGAGGTGGTGGTGGTGGTGGTGGGGCTCGCTTTGGGGGCTCAGTCGACTTTGGGATCCCGGTCACCGAACACGTCGTTTTCTGCCTCCCCTTCCGCTCGCTCTGCCTTTCCAAACCGGCTGTCAGTTTGAATTTCCATCGCCGCGCACCGATTGGGAGAACTAGAGCTCGCCCACGTCCTGCATTGGAAGGCTCGGAAGCCGCGGACGCGATCTTAGTGGCGAGGGGACCGTACGCCCCGCCCCAGTAACGGTGCCGACATCGGTTCCGCTTTCTGGTTGGCCGAGCGTGGCTCCGCCGCCGGCCTCATTGGCGGGCTCCTGGAGGTTTGGGCGGGCCTACTCCGGCTCTAGTGGAAGAAGCCAGGACGCCCTTTGCGCTCCTGATTGGAAGACGTTCTTACAGTCCACTCTGGTCTCTACTCTCTATTGGCTAAAATTCTCCCCAACGCCCCTCCTCCCCACCCCGGTCCAATTGGTCGTACCTTTTCTCAAGAATTCGTGTTTGGTTGCTGGTTCCAACTTAATCCCGCCCATTAATTCTACTTTAGGGTTCGGCCACAGTGGGAGGAGCTTACCCCGTGACTACGCCTCGGGAGTGCTAGTCACGCCTCCAAGCTTCGCCAGTCCCGCCTCCTCATTCCTGGCCTCTCGGGATCAGCTATTCCTATTGGCTACAGGCCCTATCGGTCGATAGAATGCGGGCGGTGATTGGCAAAAGGGGTGGGTCCTGCTTCCCGGCGGGGTCCTGCGGAGTTGGCGGAGGCTCCGGAGGGGACTAGGGGACCAATCTGCGTAGGAGCGGGTGGCGGGGACGAGAGGGCAGGAGAACTCTGAGTGGAAAGCGGACCCGGGGGCCTGGGACCCGTCGCGTCAGAGCCAGGTAAAGGCTCCTTCCCTCTCCCCTTCCTTCCTCCCGGCGGCGGGACCACAGCCCTGACTGCACAAACCCGGGTTGGGGCGGAAAGGAGAGGGCGCAGATGCTGCTTGCTGCATCGCTTTAGCGGTGCCGCCCGCAATCCCTCCACCCCCCCTAACCCCCCTGTGACCCTCTCCAAAACTCTGATACAGGCCTGAAGAACTCTTCAGGACGGCATCTCCCCGCCCTTCACCGCACCGCTCGGGGGCTGTGCCCGGGTTCACGCCGCCGCGCAGGCCCGAACCCAGCCCCCCCTCCCCAAGCGCTCTGCGGTCGGAACGTTTTGGGAGTGGCGGCCTTGGAAGGACCCCGGTGATAATTCCGCGGTGCCCCAACTCGGTCTCCAGTCCGTGCACCCAAAAGAGGTGTTCGCCCTGGCTTCAGTGGCCTTACCCGGACCCAGTCTCCGACCCGCCCATGGAAGCCTCTTCGAGTCAAAGTTCTCGAACTCGTATCTGAGACCTCCAC